TATTATTATTCACTGTCCTTATTATTATTATTATTATTATTATTATTATTATTATTATTATTATTATTATTATTATTATTATGTCAATTGACAAGATTGAATTCCCATATTATGTATTTCATTGACACAATTTTTTTCGCATTTAAATTTTCCTATTATGCTCTTCCACTGAACACTTTACTTCAAATAATCCAGGCCATTATAGAATGACCTTTCTAATTTGCAAATGCTACAATTTGTAAGTATATATATATATATATATATATATATATATATATATATATATATATATATATATATATATATGGTAATAGATGTAAACGTTCACCATTGTTAACACATTACATTGTCAAATGGATTAATGCCATGCCTTATTGTTGGCCTTTATAAATTATAAAAATTATGGGCTTATAACTGAATAGTGTGATGATGAAGTTATTGAAAACGATTGTTCGCTACACTATTTTTTATTTTTGAAAATATTATACGACAATTTTTATGACTGCTACAATCACATTGTAGCAGTCAATAATAGTTATATAGCTGTGCAAATGAATTCCTTGATATAATCAGTAGTTATGAATCACAATGAAGGCTTAGTTGACGATCGGACGTACTTCTTACGTACGCATAGTTCAAGGGTTTCAGGTTCTTTGAATATAAAACAAGAATATGAAATTCTTGTTTTTTGTATTCATGAAACGGATTATATTCTTATATCTTTTAACACTTACTATATGACCGTTTAATTACATTAATGATTTCAATGATAACTGTTTCAATTTGTTTTATAATGTCAGTATTTTAATCATAAGGAAGATAATTTTCTTCATTGTGTTTACTTCTGTATGAGCTTTAATCACATTCATCTTTGTAACTATCTTATTATATTCACTAATAAATGTTCTCATAAACTTATTGACCTAACGACAAAATAACGATTTTCCTTATTTTAAAATATTCCTATTAAAATAGTTTACAAATAGTTTACAAAAATGTTACTAAGACATGAACGGTTATCACATTATTTTACATCTAAAATTATTAGATCAGTGTTCATTAAATTAAAAAATCTTGTCTGTTTTCTTAACCTTTATATGTATTATACATTAGAAACAAGTTTACGAATACACGAGCGATAATGGCTTATCGATTATTAATATCTAAGGTATATGTAAATGCATTCGACATTAAAAAGTGTTTAATCACTTGACCTTTGCCAAAGACAAAAACAAAATTGGGAAAAATGCCTTTAAATCAATTTGTGGGTGGCCTTGTAAAAGGGCCTTTAATCGTTCTCGCGGTGGGACGTCCGAACTATTAGTTGGTAATGGCGCCACACATCGGACAGTGGACTGCTCGTACGTTCGGTGATGGGTCATAAGCACAGAATCTATGAAACATAGCTTCACAAGGACAGAAAACCCAACTCAGTTGATGCCCAGTTTCATAGGGCGGCTGTGCGAGATTACAGATGTCACACAAACGGTTCTCTTCATCTTCTTCATTTTGGATGTCCCGTTCTGTTAACTCTTCTGAGTTTATAGAAACTACGTCATCGTTACTTAACGTTTCATCCAAATCGACATTTCCACGGTGCATCAACGGCGTTACATCAACGACGTATAACAGTCCAGTAGCCGTCGATAATCTTACAGTACATGAAGGCCGGACATTGAGTGTTCATAGAAGCCCTTCATGACAAAAAATGTTAATAAGATTTATAAAATTATCTCCTCCGTCTGATCCGCTGTGACGAACCGCTAGATGTTATACGGCCAAGTCTCCAGCACACAAATTTAATGTACGAGTTCTCATTTCTGCACAAATGCGAATCTCGAATTTCAAAATGACAGTAAGTTGATCTTTCATAATTTTTGATAGCGGACTTCAACGCTTCAACCGATGGGAACGCAACGATAAACAACGTTGTCAAAAAGACTTCCTCTATTTCTGTTACGTGAGAAACAACAGCGCTTGTACTAGGCACGTTACTATCCTCCATAATGATGATTAAAATGTACTTCGTCAACAAGTACTGATGTTTTATACCAATCCAACACAACATAACTAACAAATTAAAAACGAACTTCAAAACTAGACATTTCATTGGACAAAATGGGATGAAAAATATTGCAATTTTGGGTTGAAAAAACATTTTTAACAAGGGTGGGTGGTGGGTTTTTTTTTAAAAATTGCCGTGGGGCTAATGAATTTCTCTTCAACCTGAACGTACCCAAAAACCTGGGAAAACGAACACGGTTGGAGATGATTCTTCCATAATCATGAAACCTGAAGACAGCCCAGACCTTCCTCTCAGCTTGCAGGACAAAAATGGCAGGAGGAGCTAAACAAGAAGCTCGATTTTCACAGAATACAGCCTTCGACGGTCACACGGCTCACTGGCAGAAAGGACTCGAAGAATCAACATCACCCAAGAGTACTTCGTGTAGTGCTCACTAACAGTGTCAATAAAGAGAATGTCCTAATGGCTAGTCGCTTACTAAAATCAGGTATGAATGTAAGAATACTGCCTAATATACATCAGGAACATTCTTAAGGAAAGTTGGAACTGACTGTTCCTCTTGTGAACTGTAAAGATAATAAAAAACATAGAAAGGACAGAGGCTACTAACTCGGAAAACTCTGTGTAGGTAGGTTATCTGTCCATGCACACAAGGCTCTTACAGATACACAGAGCGAAGAATCTCACGGGTTTCAAATTGAAAACATAAACCGCTTATATGTGAACGTCACGGGATTGCCAAATGAAATGGATTAACTGCGTGAACTCAGTGATGCTAATAATGTTGATATGTATGTATCTTCAGTCTGTTTTCCAAATGGTCCGCAAGAACTACGAGCAACTTACAGTCATCATGAGCCGTACTCTACGTTTGCAAAGCTGCAAAAGGTACTGTCGCGCGAATACAAACGAACTGATAACAATGGCATATGGAGACAATGCAAATAAATAAAAGGCTTCAGTACCAGACAAAGTTGATTGGTTATTTGTCTCCGATCAGGAAAGCTTATTCTGTTATGCAGTCTCTCCTCGACGAAACAAAACCTAGATTTCCCAAATGGTAGGTCCTAATAGTTAGAACAATAACGGCAGTGACGCCGATAACCTTCTGGTTGAATAGTAATCTCGAAAATTCCAACCGACCCATACTAACCATATTGCTGTAAGCTTCACCTGCGACTCTACAAGATTTTCATAAGTAGACCTGAGCTCTGATTTGGGGTACCTGAAAGTAGAGCACCTATAAAGAGACTTTTATTGGTCCGGATATGGTTCATTCTCTTATACTGAGGGAAGAAGCTTCAGTCTTGGTAACACCAATTAACGCGCTGTTCTCACATCTGCTAAGCCAAGGCGCATTTTCAGAAATTTGGAACCTGGATCACATCATACCAATTTTCAAAGGAGGTTCACGTAGTGAAACTTCAAGCTACTGACCGGTGGCTCTTCTTACCATACCCTCAAAATTATAGTCACTGATATGATACAGTTTACACTACTATTTATGATCCATAAACTTCTGTACACACCAACAGCACGGTTTCAGAAGATGTCACTCTTTTATAACCAACCTGCTGAGTGAGGTGGACAGATGGACAACCACCCTCGATCGCAAGGAGAAGGTTGATGTATTTTACCTTGACTTCTCAAGAGCTCTAGATAGTGCCAACCATATGTGTCTTATCAATAAGCTCACACGATTGGGCATCAAATCGCCCTTAATTAATTGGCTCATTCCGTATATAGAAAATCTACATTTTGAGTTCATTGTTAACTCTATGGCTATCAAATATCTTAGTGGCGTGTCTCAAAGTTCAGTACTACACTCTTTCTTTCCTTGACTTACATAAACGATCTTTCACAACATGTATCGTCAGATTTATTACTTTTTGCTGATGATGTGAAACTCTGGACAGAAGTACGTAACCATGAAGATAAACAGGGATTTCAGGAGGATCCGACTCGACTCCAAAGTTGGGCAGACGACAATTAACTTAGCTTTAGTACTTCACTGTGTAAAGTAGTTCATCTGAGACATTTTGCAGACTATAACTACAACTCATGCAACTCCCGTGTAGAAGTGTTTCAGGCTGAAAGAGATCTAAGAATGTTGGTGACCTACGACTAGAAGTCTCGCGCCAACTAAGACTAAAATGTATTTCGAGCAAACCTTGCACTGTTAACATTGAAGTGAATTTTTGGTCAGTTCGACGGGATAAATTTCCAGATAATCTTCAACAGTCTCATTCGTCCCCATTTAGAGTACGGAAACATAGTATTCCTTCCTCACTACAAAAGGATAAGGACACTCTGGAGCGTATCCAACGGCGAGCCACGAAATCAGTTCGGAGACTCAACTCCAAGTTTTATGACGAGCACAACCAATCAGTGAACCTTTACGCATCAGAGTACAGGTGTATTCGAGCTGATTTTTCAATGGCTTATAGCATCCTAAAGGATTCTGGACATCTCCCTGAACATCTACCTAAGCTTAGCTTCAACAAAAACCTAAGGAGTAACACTCAGGAACTGGAGACAAAACACAGAAGAATGGACTGTGGACACATATCCTACTCCTAAAGACCAGTCAAATGCTAGAATTCTCTGCCAACGGGGTCAGTCCAAAAGACTTTCCAGGGGTTCTTCAAGAGAAAACTTGACATATTCATGAGGACTGAGGATAGTGCCTCACTATGATTAACCATTTTTTCTTCTCCCTCTTTTATCGATAATATACCTATGTTCCTGCATGGGGTTATTGATGACCCACTGATATGCCGAGCGAAGCTTGAAGTTGCAGTCTGAAGGATATTTAGAAGTGGATTAATAAATTTCGGAGAGAATTTTACAACCTCGAATAAAAATGGAATCAATTTGACGATTAAAAGCGAGATCTTATTTTTATTTTTCTGGTCCTAGAAATTGGACAATATGTTTTTACTTTTACATGGTAATTTGCATTTTAGTATATACCGCGCTTTTCGGTCTTTGCGTAACGTCGGCATTGCTAAAGGTAAATGTGTGGTATAAGTACGAGTGTGTGAGCATAGGTGAAGAAGTATCTACGTTTTTTTGCAGCATCTAAGTTTCCTTGATATTGAATAGTTGAAATGTAGTTCAAAGTAAGGTATATGGACGGCCTTGAATCAAATCTCAGTCAATATTGGCTAAGATGCTTAGGATATCTTTTTCGAAGTCATATAAAAAATCGAAGCTTTCGTCAAAGTCTGGAGAATTTATGGGAAAACCGAAAACTTACTCAAAGGGTATGAGGACTTCCCCAAAATAACTCGAAATTTTGTGGAAAGCCTCCAGACTAGGAGAAATTATTATGGTTTTGTCGCATTTCCCCGAAATTTTCTAATTTAGCTTACCTGAAACTTCTCTTAATACGATAAAACTTACACCGAAATTCGGGATGTTGGTACCATTCACTAGTATTTAGTTGTGGAACGATTTCCGGAAAATACTATTATGATAAATCGACAGTTACAACACGAATGAAGTTATCTGTATGAATTATCGGGGTTCTCACAAACTGGTGCCAGCAATAACGCAAGAACTAGTTTTGGGCTTATGTCTGGTTGATTCAATCACATACTTCTGTGGAAATATTGTTGCATATTACTTAGGTCGTCAAAAATGATGACGAGAAATTCTGGCTAGACTATAATTTATAAACGAATCATTCAGATTTACGACGACAGATCTTGTATTTTGGCGTGAAACTTACTCATCCATTTTGCTAAATAGAGTTTTGGCATTATAGCTGATGTCAGTTCGTGATGGAAACTCTATATCTGATTCCTAAACCTAACCATCAACTGTAAATATTAATCCTATTTCCTCTCCTGGTTTATAACTCTCATTTAGCCGTAGTATGTAAGTGGACATTCTTAGGGTCTCTTTAGTGTCGCTCAAAGGTCGTTTATAAATTATAGTCTCACCGAAATTCCTTTTCCAACCATCCAGTAAATTAATATTTTTGAACATATCATATATGAATCTACTTCTTTGCGTAAATTGCCTCTCAGCTAGACGTAAAAAACAATAAAGGATTAGTTCCCAGCTATCTGGCCGTAGGGTGTTTTGAGGGAGTTTTTCGGGACAATATTAGGAACATCATTACATTATATGCAGATAATCTGCCTAGTTTCCTGCGATCATCGGTTATATGCTCACAATATCAAGATATACAGAGAAATGCAAAGTGCAAGATGTAGTGGTTTCAGAAAGATCTTTAAAAACTAGCAGAATGTTCCGGCACTTTATAACTCCCTGTAAAAGCCTTTAAGTAAATTTTGTTCCATATTGATCACCAAGGCATAGATCGATACTCGGTGGATAATGAGGAGTCACTCTTTCAAAGACAGTGATATTCGGTGGTTATCAGTTAGGCTTGAAGATCACTGCAAATTACCATGGAGTAGCTATTAGATATTTTGGAACTGGTTGATCAATATTAAGATCTTTTAGCCACTTAAATGTCAAAAGATGATGTTATTTACAGTCTACATTTCACTGGAAAATGAGTATTGAATGAAAGCACCTAAATCTTATCTGAAGTTTACGCTATCGGAAGATGTCCAAAGGACTACATCTGACTTGATACCTAGGATCTCTAAGCTTTTGTGTTACGTGAAGTTGGCTGAACTAAGCTTATTTCTCTTTCGCAAAAAGACTAAAGATAAACAAATCTCTCTTGATATGCCTCGACTTTTGTATTCCAGAGTAGAGAACTTATTAAGACAGTTGGAGAAAGTTTTACTTACTAGCTGATTGCTGACATACCTATCGAACCATCAATAAGTGAAACATTTTAACTTAACACACCTCAGGCTGACATGTAGTCAAGGTTTGTGACTTATTCCTCATTATAGGCTGTTATGAGATCTATCATTGGCAATACATAAGCTCGGTCATAGTTGTTTGTTTTACATGCTGTACTGGACTTTATTTATTTATTTAAACACGTAAACATCGATACAAGGAACCATCAAATACATACGCACCACACAATAAAAATGAAGTTGTGACCAGATAGAGAATGTAAAGTGTGTATAACAAAAGGAGAACAACAACGAATAGAAATTAGTTTATAAGAGCGAAATAATAATGATGGTAATCAAAGTAATAATAATAATAATAATAATGGTGGGAGAAACAGTTCAGTTAGGAAAAATGTAACCAGAAAAATTCTTTCAGTTAGAGAAGTTACGTTCGTATTTATGTAAAAAGTAATAGGAAGTTACAGCAGGGTCTTCACTGGTTTCTATTCTAAGCCATTCATGGAAACGTCTGAAGCCACTGTGCTGCACCTTAACCAGGGAGGGATTCGTACAGGATCAACAGAAACCAGTATTGTGCAGCTTTCTTTCATATCCCGACACCATGTCATGCACTGACCACCTCCGCATTTTCCAACTAGTCCCAGCGTCGGCAAATAATGCACGACGTGGAATTCTCTGGGACGACATTCGTAGAACATGTCCAAGTCACCGAAGTCAGCGTTTCAAAATGATAACCAATCCGTTGTCGAACCTCTGCATTATCAACATGGTGTTGCCACTGGATGTCAGCAATCCTTCGGAGACAACGATGATGAAGCAGAGAGAGTCGTCTAACATCCTCAATTCGAAGAGACCAGGTTTCACAAGCATAGAATAAAACTGCTCTCACCGACACATTATGGATCTGACCTTCAACAGGCAACCTGACATCAGGAAGGAGCCGGAGATTGCCGAGGTTGGCATGAATCTATCTGCTCACTAGCGGTGGTGAGTGCATGTACAGGGTCGTGCTAGTCGTGTAAAAGTACTCTGCACTTAGAAGGTAGAAAGAGCATGCCATACTTACGGACTCTGATTGTCAACTAAATAAGTACGGATTTCAAGACATGGATATCGTCGTATTGTAAGACGATGTCATCTGCATATTTAAGATCGAAAAGTTTTTCTCTAGACGACAGATCCGCACCACCGTTATTTACATCCATCAGCTGTATTGATCACGTCATTGATGACCAATTTGAAGAGGAATGGTGAGATTGGGCAAACATGCCTAACCTCACTGCTTGAATGAAACAGTGGAGAGAGGTGGTATTATGCCCATTAACAATAATAATGTGTTTTTTTAAAGGGTACATCCTTCTTCAATACACAATCCCAGGGATTTTATTTATTATTTATTTGGACACATAAATTTTGGTACAAAAGGACACCAAATATATATGTGCCACACAAAACAATGAGAATTCGGGGAAAAAAGGAGGTAAGGAGCGTAAAAAAGAACAATAACGAACCGATTAGTGTAAAGTAGTGTAATAATAATAACAATAATAATGATGGGGGGGGGAACGGAAAGGTACAGTCAGAAGAAATCTTTCAGTTAAGGAAGATACAGCCATTTTTTATGGAGAAAGTAAGTGGTTACAGCAGGATCGCAACTGGCTTCTATTCTAACCCATAACTAGTAACGTCTCTAGCCACTGTGTTGCACCATCTCTGGGACTCCAGCCAGGGAGTTGTGAAGGACCAACAAAAGCCAGCCGTTTGCAGTTTTCTTCCATACCCCGACACCATGTCATATACTGACCACCTCTCCACTTTTCCCAACCAGTCCCAGAGTCGGCAAATAATGCACGATGTGGAATTCTCTGGGACGACATTCGTAGAACATGTCCAAGCCACCGAAGTCGGCGTTTCAAGATGGTGACACCAATTGAATTATCGTCTCTGTGCCCGAACACACGATGCCGAACCTCCGCATTACTGACGTGGTGTTGCCACTGAATGTCAGCAGTCCTTCGGAGACAGCGATGATCGAACATAGAGTCGTCTAACATCGTCAACTCGAAGAAACCAGGTTTCACAAGCATAGAGCAAAACTGCTCTCACCGGCGCGTTGTAGATCCGACCTTTTACAGCCAGACTAACATCACGAAGGCTCCAAAGATGGCCCAGATTGGCATGAGGCGCTCTGGCTTTCACTATACGTGCATTGATCTCACCACTCACGCGACCACCAGCGCTTATGCAGCTACCTAGATACACGAACTTCTCGACTACTTCTATCTGCTCACCATCCAGAGTGATTAGAATCCTGCCAGTCTTGTAGAAGTGCTTTGCACTTCGAAGGTGCAAAGCACATACCATACCTACGGACATTGATTGCCAACTGATTAAGTTTAGATTACATGCCTTGGGCATTGTCGCACAGTAAGACAATATCATTCGCATACTCAAGGTCGAGAAAACTTTACTCAGGCAACAGATCCACACTGCCATTACTTACATCCATCAGAGCTGTTTCCAGAATGTCATCGATGGTGAAATTGAAGAGGAATGTTGAAATTGAGCGATCCTGTCTAATCACACTGCTTGAAATGAACAATGAAGAAAGGTGGTTGTATGCCCTCACTTTGCCTGAGGTGTTTGTATATAGGGCCTTTAGGATGTTAATAAACTTCTCAGGCACACCCTTCTTCAACAGACAATCCCAGAGAACAGTCCTGTCAAACGAATCGAAGTCAGCCCTGATGTCAAGAAACACTACGATAGTTGGCCTTTGATAAGTATGGCGGTGTTCTAACATTTGGCGGAGGATGAAGATATGAGCAATAAATCCTCGACCAAAACGAAAACCAGCCTGCTCCTTGCGAATCAATGTTTCTCGGGTTTTGAACAACCTACGAAGTATGACGGAGGCCAATAGCTTGGACGCAATCGGAAGTAGACTTATCCCCCGATAGTTGTTGCAGGAACGACGTGAACCCTTTTTAAAGATAGGGACAACTATCGACTCACTCCATGACGTTGGTACACTCTCTAATTCCCAAACCTTTTTAAACAACGTCGTCAATTCCTTAGTCAAAAAGTCAGCACCATCTTTAAAAAAAGCCGGAGGTAAGTCATCTGGGCCAGGTGATTTGTAACGCTTCAAGAGTTGGAGTTCCTTGCGGATTCCCGTCTCATTTGGTGGACCAATCGTCACCGGCCATGGAGGGCAGGACAGTTTGACCGATGTTGCCGGAGCAGCAGGCCAGTTGGACTGCCCTTCGAAGAATTCTGTCCATCAACCAAGATGTCGAAGGATGTTAACGATTGGCATCCCGTCATCCCCACAGGTTGTTTCGCTTACACCAAACTTCTTGCTGCCAGTGACTCGAATGAGTTGAAAGAGCTCCCGGAAGTTACCAGGTTCAGCTGCAGCCTCTAACTCACTGGCACGTTCCGACCACTAGGCTTCCTCATCCAAGATTTGCCCAATTTGATTACGTAACAGTCTTTGTGGTCAAACTCGCGGTCACCCGGAGTAGACCGACAGGCTTCAATGAGTTTTAAGGAACGTGTATAAATCTAGTGCTCATAAGCGGGACGTTTCGCGAAACCGCAATCGACTTTACTCGCCATTTTGATGGGGTCGTGCAGTTGCAACCAATGCTCATCTATACTTTTTGGCGGGTTGGTAGTTAGCCTAGAAGCTAGCTCGGTTTGATACATACTAGCAACAGAAGTTGCAACCAACTTGATGACATCAATCCTTTGGTGGCGGTCACTTCGTTGACCACTGAAAAGTAAGGTAAGATTGGCGCAGATCAAGACATGATCAGAGTCCAGATAGGTACTCCAAAAGGAGCGGCAGTCTTGTACACAACCACGCCAGCGGTAGCTGATCGCGATGTGATAATTCTGAGTCCAGGTTTGAGATGCAGAAGGAGGACGCCAGGTAGCACGTTGGAGATCACTGTGCCGGTAGTTAGTACTAACCAGAAACAGGTTATGGTCTGCACACAGTTGCGCTAGACGGTCAGTGTTATCTGTCCTGCCACCAACAATTCCCCATCGGCCTTCTAAACGATTCTCTTCTGTGCCTAGATGCCTGACCTGAGCATTCAAGTTTCCGGCTATTACTACAATATCTGTCGCACTCACTTTCTGGAAAAGAAAAGTTAACTGGTCGTAGAATTCATCCTTGATTGCATCCGGGCTGCAATCTGTCGGGGCATAGGCGGAGATGACATCGTTTCTCACACTGATTTCTTCTTACTTCGATGGAACTTTCTAACCTAACAGCACATATCGACTGTTAATGGGGATCCAGTCAATCATTGCTGCTACAGCTCTAGCGCTTAGCACGACACCGACATCAACAAAACCAGATGAATATGCCACAGCGTTCGCGGATAAGCGCACGTAAAACTAGCTTTTCGAAGTGACAGATGGAGAGCGAATTTGTAGTATTTCACTAGAGTCTTGAATACGGGTCTCGGACAGACAACATATATCGATATTAAGACTTTCTCAAGAAGTAGCCAGCCCTATCTGTGTGCGAACATTGAAGGCAGCCAGTTTGAATGGTGCACGTGGTTTCAGAAAAACTGCTTCAGTATTCGTATTTGGTGGTAGCATACAATTTTCGACCAGTCAGTGACTTGAGATTGTTTAGTTGGGACATGGTTTCGACCATATGCGAGCTGCTATATCGGTTAAAAATGAAATGTGCAAAACGAGAATAAAGGGAAATACATAAATGCCTTAGTATAAAAGAAATAAATACAAATGTTATCATATTATCGTGAATAGGATTTATCCGAGCGAGCGTTGAAGCAATAGAAAATTTTCCAATCGTAGTTATCATTGATTTGTGTGACAACTGTGATATTGCCCGGGCACCCAAACTGAAGCAGTGGGTATTTCAGGGAACCACTTCCTGAGCCTTTAACCTAAAGGTCTGACCTACAAGGCAGTGGAGCAACGTTAGGCGATGCAGTCTCATGGTGGCCAGTGACCAACAATAGTCTCATATACCATTTGTTTTCTTATGATGCCAGAGCCCATGTGCACCACTGGTTTGAAATCAGGGTTTTCCAACTCCCCTAGGTGAATCCTGCATGTCCACTTACCCGGTAAAATGCTGGACGTTCGCTTTTGATTCTCTTGATTTTGTAAACAACACCCACGCCTCGACAAGGCAATGAGTAGGACTTCCCTGACAGTCACTATATGCACGTGATTATGTGAGTACATTTTGAGAGGGAGAGCAGACTCTCTCCACCCCCGGTCGTATCAGGGCATTAGGACGCAAGTGCCATGTACCACAGTTGATTCAACTGAGTACACAAATATGTATGTGTTCACTAACCAACTAGCATACTCACATCCTGCAGATTCAGCTTTTTTAGAGCTTAACGTACTAACATCTAAAGATAATTTCTGATTTAGTGTTTGATCAACCCATTCATACTTTTTGTATATCTTTTACTATTTTCGTATGACCCGATGCTGTTTGTAGTTCGACATCGCAGTTGCGTTTTTATTTATTTGTGTTTTCTTTTGGGTATTCCAGTTGAGAATTCCCAATTCCTCTCCTTTATCCTCTGTTCGGATAATTTAATAAGTGTGTAGATTACAGTTATTTTCTATCTTGTTATACTCCTTCAGTACGTAGCGAATTTGAGCATATTATTAAAGCAGCTATTACAGAAGTGCTCAAACTTTTTAACATTTGCGTCAAGAATGAGTGTATATACTATTTTCTATCTTTTTTGTGAGGAAACTGCATGTATATGGTTCATACAACATTACATGTGATTACTAATCGCCATTTAATATTGTGCAACTTCAGTGCCGTCGTTGTTACCAAAAAAGTTTTGCTATATGCGAAAGAATCATGATAGATTTGATATTCATCTTCTGCATATCCCAAATATCTCACAATTTATATCAAATTCTATGCAATAATCAACTGTCTGACGTTTCTTTAATATAATCCTATGTTAAACTTTACTGACTTTTTCATGTAAGTTAAACGATTTTTTGATCACTTGAATTGTACCCGTTTAGCCCAGGTAATGTTACTCTAATCCACATGAAGTGTTCTTGATCAGTCATAAATTCTTGTTATTCATGCTTGTCTGATTAATAATGACTTGTGACCTGATTCAGTAGTATGTTGGTACGAATTATTACAATTTCCTTCAGCAAATTAAGGGGAAATAAACAAAGAAGTGACTATCAATAAAAGTAAGTTGAAAATAAGGAAACAAAAATATAAAAACCAAGTAACAATAAAGTATGAAGTATGTATAATAAAGTTTTGTTCATGCACATCTTGATGTTGATTGGTAATTTCGAGCGTAGGGTGTATATTTCGAATCCTTTACTTTTTATTACGTTTGACATAAAGAAAAGTCATTGTATACTATTCTCTTTCATTTCAGAAAAGACAGTTCCATAATGGCAATTCCTGATGAAGTATTTGATCTTGTTTCAAAAGTTTCGAATGGAAATGGAAATATTGAGGATTATGAACGCATTTGTTTGATTCTATCTAATCTGACAACTACAGAACTGAGTTCTGTTTTCCAGAAATGTGATATTTTAAAAGCATTGATGTCGATTGATTTACATGACAAGTTTGTTTAATCTACTACGCAATAATCGTTTTGCTTTTAGACAGTCTGCTCAAATTGCGATTAAATTAGCTTCCATTGTATTCTCCCTCATACCTTTATTTGACTTTGTTCAATCTCACCAAGAAGAGTTGCTTTTAATACTTGGATCGACGAAACTCGATTTGATTGAATTTATTTTGAAAAGGGTAATCGCATCCTTACATTTCAGTTATGTATGAAGCTAAGAGCTGGTGTAGTTGAACCTAGTTGTTCGGTAGACAATCTACCGGAATGCATTTTAAGGTCAATAGCTAGATTAGTGCTTCATGAAAAACTCTCTTTATCCATGGAAGCCCAAAATTTCCTGATAACTTTGGGTAACATAACAAAAAATGAAACATTCTAACCATATTCTTTAGCTACAAAATGTCCTCTTGGTTTAAAAAGCGTTTTAGGGCCCAATGTAGTCGGTGCATTAAATCCATTGTGTTCTAAATCTGAGCATTTAATAAGAGTTTCTGAAGTAAGTTGTCAAAAACTTTATTTTGTGAATTAAGTTTGCTGTACATCTAGTTTTCAAACAACCTGATGTGTTCAAAGACGTTGAAAATTCTGGTTTGTTTCAACCTATTTTGGATGGTTTAAATTCAAGAGATCCTCTAGTCCGCTTGAACTGGTTGGAATTAGGGAAATTGTTGACTATTTCAGAGACGGGCTATCACTTTCTGAATAGGCAAAATGTGTTCTCTAGATTATTGGACGATTTGTATTCTTCTGCTTCGAATCCATTAGGTGATTTACTACTTCCAGGTGAGTTTGAATACATGGTTTTTTCAGAAAACCCAAGAACTTAGACAGTATATCTAATTTCTACATAATCAACACAATTATTAATATGATTAATAGCTTCATCAGTATTAAAACCAATGCATTTGCGATACAAAATCCTATCAATTTACCTCTAGTTTTTGCAAGAACGCAAATAGTTCTCTTATCGTGACCACACTGCCCAAACTTTATTAGTGCGATTATAACCTATCTAATCCACCTACATAAGTTGTGGAAGGACGAATAGTGTTAGGAAAAAGATAGTAAGAGATCCCATAGACAAGCATACACATGTAAGACGTTCAATGTACAGAAAATATGTATCAGTGTGAGTTATCACACATTATATCAGTTCAATATAAATAAAAAAAGAAAATCTTACTGCTGACAAACAGTAAAATGAAGAACAACAAGAACAAACGTTAGAAGAGACGAATAAAGTTATGGTCGAAACTTGTCTAATAATACTATGTTCAGGATATAGAGAATAATAAGTGTAGCTAACTGATTTACGGTCGTTTAACTAAAAGCCGTCAACCTTAGGTTTTGATAATTTCACTTGGAATCTAAACCTCTCGATGAAACCTATATCAACAGTTGATGCTGGCTTGTTATAGAAACCACTAGCGCCTTTTCAACCTACTTCTGTCCTACTGATAGTAACACCTTTTGGCGTTTTGTGTCGCTGCATCCATAAGAGATAAAGGTTCATGTCTTCACCAACTGATTTATGAAGACATACATAAAATAGAGATTATATATATATATATAAAGACCATTGGTCGATTTAGAGATATCTTTAAAATTGTAACTTCGAGTGGTGTTCGATAGGATTATTTACCATCAGAATTTTTATTTAACTTCTTCAAAAGCAATCCTTTCTTCGTCTAACTTTTCACGGATTCATCTTTAATCGGCTTAGGATACGTAAATGGGATAGTCGTGTTTGGTGAGGTTACTGATAAACGGTAGCCTTCTGATTGTCCTGAGAAATAATCCGAACATGTTTGGGACGCGTTTCTCTTCCTCTTAGTTCAAAATATTGCTTCAGGACTGGTTTATATCATCTGCTAGATTGATCATAGGGTATAAAATTGTCATTTATTATTATTTTGGGAGTTTTACCACTTCTAGTGGGTTGGTGTCTGACAAAATGTGGGCATAGATTCAGAAAGCTAGCTTGGTTTTCAACAACATGTGCCACTTGTGGCTCAGGCGGAATATTTGTATCCCAATAAAAGGGTGAGTATGCTGTGCAGCAATTTGATCTGCCTTTTTGTGGCTGTGAGATGCAGTCTTAACAAAATATCATCCAGGCAACATGAATCATATTTAAACTTCTACATAATATAATCTTTGTTTTATATCAGGCGTAAATGTTCTATACGAATCCCTATCACCGTCTTTTATGCGACCTGTACTATGTATTATCGTTTTTGATCTCATGTAATTTGTGATTATTCGTTTTTTTAAAACTAATAGTCTATCAATTTCACTTTTTTAAAAAGGATACATTGGATTTTTCGGTAATCTCGCTAAGCGAGACCCTGACCAGTGGTTAGGGTCAAAAAGCGATGGAAGGTTTAAGAATGTATTATCAGATGCGGTCGATAATAATGCTATCAATATTTCTATGGTGGCATTTGAATCTATTAGCTGTATAGCGACTACACCGACAGGTCGAATTACCTTAGATAAGTTATTTGGTGAGTATGATTAAAGTTATTTTGTCTCACTTCATTCCTCGACGTTAACTGTTAGTTTTAATGTACAGTACTATTTGTTTTCGTGTCAGTTATGATAGTAGTCGCTCTATTCAATACTGTATCTTTTTGTTACCGTAAGGAAAGTTTTTAATAAACACCCCTTTGTATCACATATTTAAATTACAAACATTTTTAATAATTCGAATCAAATCCATTCGAAATATTTTCACTTTAATACCTGGAGAGATAAATACAGGGTTAATGTCACACTGAGAATACCATTACCCACTAGGGTTTCTTTCCAACTTGAATACTAATTCCTATTATTATACAATCGTAAGTATCATTCATGATGACCGATATCGTACCAATCGTCTTTAAAATTTAGAAATCAATGGACCATCTGGTAAATTGTTCCCAGGTTATTCAAGTCAAAACGTTTTATCTAGAAACGTCATTTTTTAAAAACAATTACTCACTACCATCGTATTAGTCTGAGAAAAACATTTTTACGCCATATCGTACTTACCTATGCTCGGTAGATAAGTTAAGTGATAATTTTATTATTAGTATGTGAACTGGAGGTGTGACAATAAATTATCTATTTGTAAACACAGTGCATGTACTATGCTCATCTGTTTATTGATCAAAACTTTAAGATTCGTTCAATTTTGATTTTAGCTAAAAATGGCTCATTTGATAGTGTTTTGAACAAGCTTTTTGTATTTATTTCCAATTCACCAACTGAGATATGCACTAGAGCTGTCGAATGCTATAGTTTTCTTCTACGTCGACCTGATGGGATAGATTCAGAAGGCTTATTCGCCGATGCTGTACTTTCTCTTAACTGGGCAATAATTTCTTGTCAAAAAAGCATTGATACAACAAATTCCAAATCAGTCGAAGATAAAGAATTATTAATCGCTCCACTACTGAAACGCCTTTATTCTCTTGCAACTCAACCATTTTTTGAGGTGCGTGTAGCAGTATTCAAAGCTATCGATGCGATTGCGACGCAGGTAGGTTTTGCAGTTTATTGTTTACTTCATTTTTCTGCGTATTCATTTCTATGTATTGATTTAATTTATTGTAATCATGTACGTGTTTTTGCATTTAGTCATGAACCACCAAAGTAGACTAAGTGAAGTTGAAATCTGTTACTTACTGCCTCAGCCAGTAATGTCATTATTCCACACCAGTCACTTGCATCGTTGAGTGAACTTTTATCTCTGAAGTTTAGAGTTTACGGAGAGTATAAAAGCCTAAATTCAAAGTATTTTCTTTTTTATCGCCGACCATCTAATTCAGTCTATAACAAATACAAATAATAAAAACACGATAGTAAATGTTCTTATTGTAGTTACATATCGGTACTCCCATATATCGTATATCAATCGGTTGGAGAACCGTTATTACAATTACTCCCATCGGTGTATAGTTTCCAGAAGCTAAAACGAAGTAATCGGAACAGGTTATTCTAAACGCAGTTGAAATTAATCGACAAAGAAGCACACAGTAAGAAAGGTGATTTAGTGAAAATAGTTTAACAAGCAAATATGTATGCGTATGCAAATGAGTCACCAAGCGTTTAATTGGGTTAGAGAAATACGTAGGCTGCCACATCCAATCAATCATATATGGCAATTTATGCAAACATGATGATATTTATGAAGATATAGTCGAATTATTTCGGACTAGAATAATTCTGCCAAATAGGTCAGTTCAAGGGCTTAGTTAATATGAATATATACATTAGCTTTTTCTGACGTTAAGACTTATAAAGATCTACCCCTGAGAACATAAATACAAATCAGGGTGTCCACGTCCGAAAAACAATAAATACAATAAACAGGATAGAATACGAATGGTATATAAAAATGATAAACACAATAGTATTAATTTCAACAATTGAGATCATGAGTCAATTGAAACTAGACCACCATGGAAAACCTGGAAGCACTGGACGGCCGTTTCGTCCTATTGTGGGACTCCTCAATTGACTCATGATCTCAACAGTTGAAATTACTACAATCTCCACAAAACTCCTTCTGATACAATAGTATTAATCATCAAAAATCAATCTACATACTTGAAATCACAATATTGGAAATGTTCTTATGGATAAGGATTAATAAAACGGTAATAACTATAAAGGAATTATAAAATGTATTCAAATGGTGGAATATTTGTACGGCAAATAATATGAAAATTGTAGAAGAAAAGATTGACAATCAAAGTTGCATAATCGCAACAACAAAGAATAGATTGACTATAAGATAAAAACGGGTGAATTTCAGATAAAACTTAAAGTATGAAAAGAATGAAAGACAAAACTAAACAAAAACAGAAAGAATTCAGCGAAGAAAATTTTCTTTTTGACAAAATCATGTACTTAAGCTATACATCCGTATTTATAGTTATGTGGTAAATATATGCCTATAAAAGTATTTCATCGGGAAGGAATTTTTCTTCATTGAATCCTATTTAATTTAATTCATTGACACTATCTGTTATTTGAATTAATTTTTAATGAGGAAAAAAGGTCACCATAACAAAACAAAAATGACAACAGTATCTTTTTGAATAAGTTTGGTTTGTGTCATTTGATATAAATATCCTACCATTTGAATAAATTTTATAATTCCTTCATACTTATTACCGTTTTATTAGTCCTTATCCATAAGAACATTTCCAATATTGTGATATCAAGTATATAGACTGATTTTTAATAATTAATACTATTGTGTTTAGGTTGTAGGCAACTGTTGGGAAACTATGAAATAAAAAGAATTCAGGTAATTATGTTACGCTACGTTCTTGCTCTATTTAAATTTATCGTGTTTAGATAAAATAACGAAACTGATTGAAGAATAGAGTGGATTCATTGTGTTTCGTTGTTTTCTCTTCAACTAAATACAAGTTTTCAAATTTGATTAATTTAAACTATTAACATAATTTTAGGTTTGAAAATGAATTGTCCAACATTAAGTAACAAGATGCATAGGATGTGAATGTTAATATGGTTAGGAATAAAGTTTTAACAGGATTTTTTTAATGCTAAGTGTGACAGTTCTGGAATATTTTAAAATAATTTTCATAATGTAATAGTGTATCTAAAAGGTTTAAAACGAAATAAACTAAGCTGAGAAAAGCCTGAACTCACTAGTTTATTATTATAATAAATTGGATAAGATTAAAAAGAGAGGTCGAAATTCTTTGGCTACTTAGTTTATTCAGTTACTCTATTTGAGCACATAGGCTAGATTTAAGCCTTTTAGTTACTATGGCTACCTCAAATTTTGATCATATAGAATTAGAGAACCTAATGATTATTCCGAATGCTCTCATTGCATCTACTTCATATCCCATTTTCATTAGATGTAGTACTATAGAACTGCGAAGAAAATATTTCCCTTTGAGCTAAAGGTTCTTTGGAGCATATTCAATTCAACGTGTAGATGCCTGTCTTTCTTCCTGTGTTTTACAAGTACATGCGAATTGATGTAACCAGTTAAAGGTGATACGTGCTAGCTATCTGTCTACCTAAGTTTGTGTTATTGGACATCGCATTCTATGCAACAGAAACGACTTAGCAGCAGAAAATGTCCTTCAAAGCTATCTTTAGTCTTTGATTTTAATCATGATCACGTGACTCACGCCTAACATGCATGTATAGTCAAGCCAAATCGCATGAATATTGTGTACCACTTGTTTCCATAATTAATTCTTTGTCATAAATTGGCCCGATGGTTAGCTAACAAACTTGAACCAACTTATAAGAAGTTGGCTCTATACAGTTTAAGGGATACGTTTGAGTTTGCAATAATTGAAAAATTAAATATATCAAATAATCTTATGGTTTCATACAAAATATCTTCACTGTTCGCCATTATCCCTTTGGAAAAAGCAATTGATATTATCAGCCAACACTCACAACACATATCCATACCGCAGATACAATTTAGACAGCTTCTATATCTATGCACAGAAAATGTTCAGTTCCAATTTAATGGTAAGTTATACTGTCAAGCAGACGGTCTGGCTATGGGAATCCCTTCAGAACCAGTCGTAGCTGAAATATTCAGCAAGATTGGACTTTATGTAAAGTGCGTTGATGATACATTCGTGTTGTTCAACGACATAAATCATGTAAGCTAAATACTTGAAACTTACAACTAAGTCCATTTCAGTATCCGATTTACATTGGAACATAAGAGAATAGTAGATGTTCCACACCGTAGATCTAAGTATCTCCCGCAGAAATGATGGGGCATGTCAAAGGTACATATATCGGAAATAAAACGTGGAGTGGGCAATATTTTCATAGCCTTCGCTCTTTAAGTTATAAATACAGATATAAACTTAATTACTCATCTTGTAATGCTTTGCATACCTATCACTTTTTTCTTTGTGTGAACAGCCATGGGGAGTTCGACAAATAACACGACAACCCGGATTTTTCGAATATTTGCTTAATCGTCAAACGGAACTCGGATTTCCAGATAAAATACAACTTGTGCAAGCCAAATTAGACATTATGAACAATATGCTGAAAACATACAAAGTATGGAGTTGTAGTGAATGTAAATCATTCCAGAATTTGATTGATAGACAACAGTTGAAACTAATACAGCTTTATATAAAGGAAGGATTATGGGGTGTTGTAAAATCTGAGGCTGCGGTGGCTCTTGAACCTGGTTAACTAATTGATAATGTAAAGGATGTAAACGATATATGCAAACATATTTTTCTTCTTTTTTGTTGGTTGATTTTCTTAATTGTTGTGACTTAACTTCTAGTGATATGATTCACATATCAAATTTTTAAAATAAGAAATTTTCACAACAACCGACCGACTAGTAAGTGCTTCTTCAGGGTAGTCGTTGACTATTGTATTAGTTCAATAGAGATCTTAAGACAAACTGTTATCAAAACCAGTCTATCAATTGAACCTGTCCATAAATTCTGCACAGAACAAAATCAGCACAATTATATATCGTTGACAAGTACCAACGATTCGTAGTATGATGGAGTATTTTAATCTTTTAGAAATCAGACTACAAACAGTAGAATTCAAGAGAATATTATGTATCGTACAAAACATCCAGATGTTTTAAGTCCATTGAATTGACCAGTAGTCTAGTCTCACATTGAACGGCAATAGCAGTTACTCAGTGTTCTAAAGGGTAGTTGATGATAAAACGTGATTAAGAACTGTCTCCGAAGTGAACGTATAGTCTCACTGAAATCAGAACAGTAGTCTTAGTCACTAATCTTGCTTTTGAAATCACTAGCCTGAAGTGGATTTATTATTATAAATACTATCTCATAGTTAAACCAACGAGATAACGCAATAATTCATTCATTATTAACACTAAAATTCGTTGCAAGAACGTTACTTTTGACAGAAAAAGTGATAACATATTTCTTGGTATTTACTACCACATGTTCGACAGTCACTGATATCTGAAATTAGAATGAAAAATTTACTTCTATAGTCCTCCCTGAGTAAATTACTCTGAGGCATACGTTAGCCCTCAAGTTTATTCCATTAATAACGATGACAGTGAATGAAATGAATGCGTCCTATCTAACTTCGTATATCTCCTGTCAACTAATTAAATTAACACAACGTTGAAGTCGAATATTGTCATTATTATTATTTGAACACATAAATACCGGTACAAGAGGAAACCATATATACATGCGCCACACAAAGAAAGTGAGATTGTAAAGAAATAAAGGAAAGCATAATAAAGAAACACCAATGGATAGAAATAGGTGTATGGAAGTGAAATAATAATAATGGTGGGAGAAACAGTTCAGTTAGGAAAAAATGTAACCAGAAAAATTCTTTCAGTTAGAGAAGTTACGTTCGTATTTATGTAAAAAGTAATAGGAAGTTACAGCAGGGTCTTCACTGGTTTCTAAGCCATTCATGGAAACCACTGTGCTGCACCTTAACCAGGGAGGGATTCGTACAGAATCAACAGAAACCAGTATTGTGCAGCTTTCTTTCATACCACGACACCATGTCATGCACTGACCACCTCCGCATTTTCCAACTAGTCCCAGCGTCGGCAAATAATGCACGACGTGGAATTCTCTGGGACGACATTCGTAGAACATGTCGAAGTCAGTGTTTCAAAATGGTGACCAGTTGAATTTTCACCGCTGTGCCATGAACATGCGTTGTCGAACCTCTGCATTATCAACATGGTGTTGCCACTGGATGTCAGCAATCCTTCGGAGACAACGATGATGAAGCAGAGAGAGTCGTCTAACATCCTCAATTCGAAGAGACCAGGTTTCACAAACATAGAATAAAACTGCTTTCACCGACACATGGATCTGACCTTCAACAGGCAATCTGACATCAGGAAGGAGCCGGAGATTGCCCAGGTTGGCATAAATCTATCTGCTCACTAGCGGTGGTGAATGCATGTACAGGGTCGTGTAAAAGTACTCTGCACTTAGAAGGTAGAAAGAGCATGCCATACTTACGGACTCTGATTGTCAACTAAATAAGTACGGATTTCAAGACATGGATATCGTCGTATTGTAAGACGATGTCATCTGCATATTTAAGGTCGAAAAGTTTTTCTCTAGACGACAGATCCGCACCACCGTTATTTACATCCATCAGCTGTATTGATCACGTCATCGATGACCAATTTGAAGGGGAATGATGAGATTGAGCAATCCCGCCTAGTCTCATTGCTTGAATGAAACAGTGGATAGAGGTGGTATTATGCCCATTAATAATAATGTGTTTTTTTAAAGGGTACATCCTTCAATGCACAATCCCAGGGAACAGTTCTGATGTCAAGAAACACTACGATTGTTGACCTGTGATAAGTATGGCGTTGTTCTAACATTTGGCAAATAGTGGGAATATAACCAATATATCCTCGACTGGAACAAAATCTAGCTGGCTTGTCGCGAGTCAGTGTTTCCCAAGTTTCCAACAATATATGAAATATGACGGAAGTCAATAGTTTGGACGCAATCCGAAGTAATCTTATTTCCCGATAAACGTTGCACAAGTTAAATAAGCCCCTTTTAAATATAGAGACGACTATCGACGCATTCCAGGGTTCGGAAAGACTGCTTTCTAAACTTTTGCATACAGCTCAGTCAGACTCATGGCCAGGTCGCTACTATCCTTAAAAAGGGATGGAGGTGAGTCATCTGTGCCTGGTGAATAAAGTATTAACTCGAACACGAACTGTAGTTAGGACGCGTATATTTCAAACATTTATTTGAGCAGGTTAAGTATGTAAATATGGTAGTTGAATAGACGCAGATAGTAAGACCCTATTCATAATGTTTAAATACGAATCAAATAGACAACGCACAGATTACAGATAGGGAGGAAAGACATGCACAAATACATTTGTGATAATGTCCGTTAACAGTGAATAATTTACAACGAACAAGTTATGTATAGTAGTTCACGAAATACGTAGTCAGCGTATTAGTTTGTCCAAAAATTAGGGAAAATTCACATAGGCGTTAATAAGGTTTCTAGACAAGTCACTAAATAATCGTCTCGTCGATTAAATGGAAAACTCGCAGGCAATGCATCCCTAGGTTCTTTATAGGCGTATTATTTCCATTGACATTTTCTCTCCCGCTTGTGTCATTATGATAAGATAGCAAGGATTATTGCCCCAAATTTAGTATAGACAACTAACATAAACGTCAGTCAGATACATGTATAATAGTAACGTAGTTGTCCTACCCATGGTTTTCTGAAGTTCATGACATTTACAAACCTATTCTCACTTAATAGGTTCGAACTGTTAAGCATAAAATTCTCAAGTACACACCTGACAATCTTGATGGAGATTGACTCCGTTTAGTGATATCCATTAGCGGCATGTATATCGTCGGAATCTAGACTCTACATTAATGGTTGACCTATATTACACTATTAGAAATGGTAATCGACCGGCCGATACCGTTACATAATGGTAATTCTACGAAATCTTTGTAAATTCACCTGTCTATTGTTGTATCTCTTTATGATCATACTACTTCAAATGAAAAATGTGGAAGCATACACTGAAAAATATATATTTACAATTTTTCTCAATCTGATAATATTCAATCCTCAGTAACTTTTCTCTTTTTATTGTCATTTTTGATATCTGGTTGACATTTTCGTTTCAGAACACGCACTTTTTGGCTGTTCTTTGGTGAAGGCACTGTTTTAATCGTTGACTTAGATTTATTAGCGTTCTTCTTAAGAGATTTCTTTTTTGCGTTGACTTCATTTCGTTTTGGTTCAGTTGCTTTATTCGCCGGTTTCCTTTTCATTAAGGCTTTTTCTTTACGCTTTTGTTGACGTTCTTTCTTGCGTTCCATTTTAAGACGCAATTTTTCTTGTCGACTTTCAGATTCATTAAATATGCTTTAATAAAGAATCAGAAAAGAAGAATGATGGTTGTCATATACTTCGGGATTCAGAATAAGGCAAAAACAAGAACTGCGAAAAATGAAACAGCCTTGATGTTACGTCCTCTGCTTGGTTACGACAGAATACGATATACAACTAACGGCACTCACTCGAACGTGTAGAACACCACCGTCGCAAATCAGAAGATGGATGAAGTAGGGAAAGTGATTATTGGGTATGAATCAAAAATGTGTAAACAAAAATGAGTATTTATAGCTATTAGTATGGACTGTGACATTATAATTCAGCTAATCTAGAAGTAGTTGTGTTGTCGTCCAATTATAGCATGCCACGTTGATGTTCTACGAGACTCTATCAGGTTGCAATTGAATGGAATCTCTTCGGCTTTTTTAGAGTCTCTGGAGGCTTCGTCGTGCTTCTTGAAGCCGTCCCGACAGTTAGTACAGTCAATTTTTGGGATACAAATAAGATAAATAGATGCCAATACAATCAAAGTGACTTGCTAGCTAAACGGCAGTATTAACAGTGACCTTTGTAAATCAGGAGTCTTAGGCAGGTGTTTTTTCTAAAATAAGTTACAATCTACAAATTACATAAAATTGACAGAGATTACTGGTTACATTGAGAAAATGGATGAAGTTTTAATGAAGACAATTTCTAGCCTAGTAGTTGTCAGTCAATTGTTTAGAATTTATTTAATTATAAAATCGCAAGTGACCAATTTATATCAAATCATATTAGTATATGCGAAATTATTCAACTCACCCAGATTTACGATTGTTCTCTTTCAACAAGTTTAAAAAGCGTCGTGCTGCAGATCTGATAGGTTTTTGTGTTGATGGAAATTTCTCTAGAAGTTTAACAATGTGATCTTGAAGAAACTAAATAACAAAAGCCAAACAACAAATGGATTTTTTTCAATATACAACTTCCCTGTTTTCACTTTATCAAATGTAGAATCATGACTAATAACTAAAGGAGTCGCTCAAGAGAATAATATCGTTTAATTTTTTATCCTTAAACCACCGTGCTCAGCTGTATAGTTAAAAAAAAACTTAGATAAACGAGTCTAACTGGTTATCGAGGATGGAAACAAAAGTCGGTCAAGCCGTATAAAAGTTTTCCCAGTTCTCTTGATGTCATATTGCATTGGTGTTGTTGTTTGTCAAACTTCTCGTACCGTATTTGCATTTAAATTTGGCTATATTAAGAACCAACTCCGCCTGTAGCTCTTCTAGAGTTACTGCCAATCCCAAGCCCGGGTAAAGGAGGAGGGTTGGGCATGGGGTTAGCGTCCCCATCCAGTAGAAAACTAACTCGCTAAAAAAACGCTTACCAAAAAAATTATTCAAATCATTTTAACTCTGCCCTGGAAGTTAGGTCTTCATTTAGAAGAATTATGACGCTTCATGGTGAAAGCCGTGTTCCTTCGGAAGCCACGAGGCCGATGTCCCTTCTAACAACCAGAGCAAACATTTTTGTAGGTACATGTGGGAGACCGCGAAGACCAGTCAAATAGCAACGGAAATGAGAAAATACAATTTGGCAGTACTGGGAATCAGCGAAACCCACTGGACCCAAGCTGGACAGAAAAGGCTAGCTACAGGAGAGATGCTACTATACTCCGGTCACGAAGAGGAAAACGCTCCACACACTCAGGGAGTCGCTCTAATGCTGTCCAAAGTAGCACGAAATGCAGGGTGTAGGATGGGAATCTCACGGATCCAGAATCATCAAAGCATCATTCAAAACAAAGAAGGAGGGGATTTTAATCAATATTATCCAATGTTATGCACCCACCAATGATAGCAACGACGACATTAAAGATCAATTCTACGAGCGGCTGCAGTCAATCATAGAGAAATACCCAAGAAAGGACCACCATTCTAATGGGAGATCTAAATGCCAAAGTCGGAATAGACAACACCGGATATGAAGATATTATGGGACGACATGAACTGGGACAGAGAAACGAAAATGGAAAAAGATTTGCGAATCTATGTGCATTCAACAAATTGGTCATAGGGGGCACAATATTTCCACACAAGCGCATACACAAGGCTACATGGATCTCACCGGACCACACTACAGAGAACCAGATAGATCATATTTGCATCAACAAAAAATTCCGAAGGACAATGGAAGATGTGAGAACCAGGAGAGGAGCTGACGTAGCTTCAGATCACCACCTAGTTGTAGCCAATTTAAAACTGAAGCTAAATAAGAACTGGACAAACAGCAATACAAAGGTTCAATACAGCTTTCCTTCGAGATACTGACAGACTCAATGAATTCAAGATAGCTCTCAACAACAGGTTCCAAGCCTTACAAGATTTACTGAAGGAAGAAGAAACTACTATGAAGGACAACTGGGGTGGTATTAAAGAAGCATTAACTTCAGCGTGTCAAGAGGTTCTGGGCCTAAAGAGTAGTGGATGCGCGTTGTTGAGTAGTCCCGTACTAGGATGAAACGGCCGTTCAGTGCTTTCAGGTTCTCAATTGTGGTCTAACGTTGATCGGTTCGTGATCTCAATAAAAACTCAACAATCTCCATAATCATATATTGATGGTTATATTTATGTTTATTTGACATCCTCTATCAACCAGGCATAGATCTGGATCAACTTTAATTGCACTTTGTTCAACCAAGTAGAATGATGTTTGGAAATTCGAGGACGAAATTGTCCAATCTACAACCACCACTGAACTTTTGTTGCTAGTGTCATTTTGAAGTTACGATCATCATCAAAGAAAATGAACTAGGAATAGACCTTGAAAACAGGTGTTTAATTGAATAGTAATAACTGTGTAACTCAACTACCAAGTACGCTTTTTGCACTAGATTTCGAGTCATACTTTCAGTGTGAGGGATAGTAATATTATCAAGTTAGATGTATAGAGTAAGAAGGAATTTACCTTTAGTACAAACGAAAAACAGGAACATATAACGTCACTGTATGTATATTAATGGATGTGAGAATAGGTAGCACAGCACTAGGTATCTAGTTATAAGAGCAGGTGCATGAATAGAATGTACTTAAAAAAAATCCTTAATGACAATAATAATAATAATAATAATAATAGTAATAATAATAATAATAATAATAATAATAATAATAATAATAATAATAATAATAAACTATATCAGCCTACCGTAGACGAAGCATTTTCATCAAGTTTTACAATACACATAAGTAGTTCGAACAAGGCCAAAGATAATTTGAGACGATTGTACCAGACGTTGTTGTTCACTGAACATTGGCTAGCTTTCTCTGCTGTTTGCAACACTTCAGCTAGTTTGACACTGAGTTTCCTTGATATTTTCTTAGCTTTTAACTCATTTTTATTTGACTTGAACATATGAGTAACTATTTGGAACAAATTAACGAGATTACAACTTTCAAAACCATTAATTTTAACCTCGCGAATATCATCTAAACTATCGATTATTTTTTCGCATGCTTTCACAGTAGTTTCGACAAGCAATTTTGAGGCCTTGTGTGCAAATGTCTAATGGATTTCGAAATAAAATTGTATATTAAATGAATAAGAATAATTCAGTGAAATCGTACAGTACATAAAAGTATGAATGAACATTCTTAAAATAAGCAAACTTGTGTTGATGAAGATCAGAGCAACTTGATCTGGCTGTACAAAAAATATTTCTATTGATGGTAATTCTAAGGCTCTTTATTGATGCAACTGATCTAAGGAATGTACGGGTTTTGAAAAAATACAAGTTGAAATGAAGTATGTATGCTAACCAAGTGACTTTATTCACTTAAAGGCAGCATGAAATATGCAGTTGACTTACAACTCAGTGTAATAACTAATTTCAGATCAACTCCGTCTTCTCATTGCTATATCGAAATTTACAAAAGGGACTAAATGTTTTAATTTCTTTGCGTGACTCCAAACAAACCTGTTCGACTAAGCAATTAAGAATAGGACATGAATGGTAAACTTTATTTCAATTATTTACAAATCCGGAAAGAAGGTCGTACAAATAATGAATTCGACTATTTTAGCGCAATTCAATGTTCATCTAATATGGTGATTTAAGGCCGGTAAAGTAGCGATCGGTTCGTTCAATGAGGTGATGTCTTAACAACCAAATCACCATTATGTTGATCTGGTGTACTTCTATACGTCGAGTTCATTTCATAAACAAAATGTTTCAAAGTTACTCTCAATATACTTTATTAGTGTGTTGAAATTACTACTAAGCAATAACATTCGACCTTTCAAAAAATACTTGACAAGTTTAGGTCTAACAAGATCACATAATCCAAAGTGAATCGCAATCAGTAAGTGCTCTCAGAGAGATTAGACAGACATCGTCATGAGTCCACATTTTTCTGGCATTCTGTAGAACCATTCAGTCAAACAACGTATCGGCAACGATAAAACTGGTATTTAGTAAATTACATGTTCTGCCTTGAAGCATAAGGTTGCTTTCACACAAAAGAGCTAAGTATCGAATATCCAAACCCGCAGAATGAATTCTAATGATTTATCAAGTGCATATCGAAATGTGCATTATATATATATCCATTACTCTAGATGCCAGTGGTTTTCCAGCAGATTGAATTTAAGGTTCATATATTAAAAGGCATAACATTAAAGCGGAAATATGGATTCAGCATCCAAGAAAGAAGGCTCGTAATTCTGCAATATAAGGTTTAAGATCAATTTCCAACACTGTGACTCATGTTTAGACGTTCACTTGCGGCTAAAATAAGTGAAAGGATTTCTTTTTGGTTAACCTAATAAAATGTGTACCAGGTGCTCATCAAATAAATGTTTCTCATAGATTAATAATAAACGAGTTATATCACTGGACTGTTATTTTTTCTAGATATACTTCCTTACAAACTGCTTTGGTTTCCCCCTCTATATTACCTGTATAAAGTGCATAGAAGCATGAGTGTGGATGTTCATTCCTTGTTTATCTAAACAGACAGTAAGTAAATATAAGGTTTACCAATTCTAGTTCACTTGACTATTTTAATTTGTCTACAATCAAAGGATAACAAATACACTTATTGGCTTAGTTTCCATAATACGAAATGAAATTATCAACAAGAAATGAAAACTCTTCTTCAAAATTAACTCACTTGGCAGTGACTTAGAAGATTAAGGAATAGTGTAGATTGATGGTTAGTATTACTTAAAACTTCATGGAGTTGTTCTAATAAATAATTAGACAATGGTGATTCCAAATCGGGAAATTCTGCTTTCAACGGTTTCATACTTCGATACTGTACAGAAGAGATACAAAAACAAATTTTAAGAAATATTTGTAAATTACATAGTCAAATGTTGACGTGAAAATGAGCTATTTCCTAAAGACGATTGTAGGAACTTACAATAAATTCTATAATGTTGGATAACAATTCTGTAAACAGTTGAGTTCTATCCGCTGAAAAAAGAAGAGAAAATAGAAGAATAAATAATTAGAAAATTGGCTCTTTACGTCTTTCATTTAATAGACACCGAATTGGATGCAACTGAGCATCAAAAAACAATATGCACATTATTAAAATGCTGGGGACACATCGAAAAAATACTTACTTGTTTTGGCTGCATCTATAAGAGATTGCATAATTTTTTTCAAATAAACATGTTGATCAAGGTTCTTGAGAGATTCTATAAATTCGGACTGAGTTTTTTGCGACCTGAAACGCCATTTTCTCACAACAAGTATTATACTTGACAGTGGAGGTATGTCACCATATTTAGCAATAAAACTTGTTTTTCTCTTTTGTTTCTGGTTGATTTTTCTATTTGAGCTTAAATCATTTCGTGATTTGGCTGTTTCATATTCAATGGATCCTTTGCCAATATCAAGCACAAGATCAAGAGCAGGCTGCAAAATAAAAACAAAAAGTTCTCGTTTTTATCATAAGAAATTGTTGCACAATGAAGTTACATTTATAGTGACCAGAAAAAAAACACGTTTAAGGGACAAAACTTTTTCTTGGGGTAAGTAAAATATCATGCATGTAAAATCTGGAGGTGGCCAAACCAAAACGTGGCATCAGTTCATGAAACCATTGACAGTTGCTCTGATCCATGTTGACAAATGCAAACTACCTGGTTAAGGTCTGCGTAGTAACCGCGACCAATGGTTCAAGACGTTAGGTGATATAGCTCAGATCCATCTACTCTATATCTTCCTCTCGTTCTTAAATTGCAGTGTCCCTTCATCCATGCCTCTCAACCCTTCTTTTCCAAACCATATTCTCAAGGTTTAGTTTTTCTTTTTATTACTTCTTACTACACTATTTCGATCTTTTTGGTTGTTTTCATCTCGTCATGCTAATCACGTATAGCGGATTGGGCCAACGCATAACTAAATTGACATTGTCTGTCTATCTATAAACACAGAGAAAAGAAATATTCGCCTTCAACCTTACCAAAACGATTAGGATTTGATCATTGGTTTTTCCTGAAACATTACGTTTGAATAAATCAACAAAACAATGAAGAATTTAGCAAAATAAAAAAGTTTAGAACAATGAACAATTTATCCATTAAGACCTACCAAAACAAGTTGAGGCTCAGAACTATACTGTAGAATACATTCAATCAAATCGAAACATCTAAAATACACAGAAGGATATAGTTATCGATGTCATTTTAAGTACACATAAAAAGTAAACAATTTACGAAAAAAGTAAATATCTAGTTATAACTAAAGCAAACATAATCCGTTTGACACTGGTTTTCCAATGCAACTCATTTAACACGCTGATCTATATAATTAGATTTAAACACGATGTTTGGTGTGAGGACTAGTGATATAATCCGGCTGTTAGTACTTGATATGATGGAATAAGTAATACACCTAGTTGGGCGTTAATTCTAGTGGAAAGTGAATGAATTATAGTTCCTGCAACTTACAATTGTTTTAAATAAATATATTTTTCAAATTTTATTTACAATTGTTTGTTCACTTAATACCATGTATATTCTTGTGCTTAGCACTTTGCATATGCGTTTTGTTAAATTATTTTACTGATCAGACATCTCGTTTTCTAATATCAGTTTAATTCAGTGCTTACGTCGATACTTCGGTCTCTTAAATATCAAACACCTGGTCAAATTGCATCACTACATATTACCGAACGACTAGAACACTTCATCCATTAGTTTTATAATCACTTAACACCACACTACAAATGATAAAAGACTGATTTACAACAGCATCAGAGCAGATGGAGTGGGAATCAAACCCTTTATCTAATGGCTGGAAACTGGGCGACTTCAGTAAAAATTTCCCCACATAACACTGCCGAATTTAATGTGAAGAATGTAATTATCAAACAAATAATTGATGATTTGCAAGTAGAAAGAAATAATCATCTGATTACTTCATTTTCAATTCACCAACTGAACGAGCTTGATCAGCAACTATTCGTTGAGGCTTACGCATATGAATACGAAATGCAGCTGCCAAAGCTTCATCACGTTCAAACATCTCAGCATCTGTGAAGTCCCGGCAATCGTTATCGTTATTTTCACTATCTAATGCAGCTGGACCAAGTGCATCACGTACACTATTTTTAATTTGATTAAGTTCATCTTCATCAATATCAATCTCTTCTTCAACTGCATCAGAGTCTGAATCATCTGAGGCTAAAATATTGACAACATTATTAGCAGTAATAAATATAAACTACGCAAACATGACAATCATTTATAAAAAGTACAACTTTATGACATAATAAGGAAATGACTTTTTTTAATTTCGAAAACTTAACCAAAAATCTTAGTTGGTTCTTTTAGAACTAGGATACACAATTATTTTAAATTATTCTTACTGCAACCAACATCTCATGTTCAGATGTAAGAAGTATAACGTGAATCTTAGTCATTTTAAATAGCGAATTTCCTCAAAAAATAATCATCTGGTTTTTATGTGTTCTCAACAGAATTATGGAGAAAAATAATCAACCGATATACATTTCATTCAACTATTACTGTTATAGTGAACGTGAATTCAGGTACGGCAAACCAATTTACTGTTTCATGCAAAATCAAACAGTAGCTCTGCAAAATATGAAAATCATAAATTAAATACATCATTTACAACATATCTTCCTTCAGCTGTCCTTAACATACTTCATCATTCGTCTGATCCTGTTATTATTTCAATCGCTCTTCCGCTTTGCTTCATTGTATCTTCACTTCACTCTTCTGCTGACAAGTATTTACTTCCAATGCCTGCTACATACAGTCTGTCCGCATAAGTAGTGCACATCACATTGTAAGCTTGTAAAGGTCAAATATCATCATCATAAAATATATGTAACCCTCTCATGATGTAGATTGTAAATAGTCACAAACAGATCAGTGGTGTATTGGATACCGGTACTATAATAAACATCCGTGTATGTTTCACAGACCACCCTGAAAGATAATTTCTCACTCTAAGTTCTTCCTGTAAGCTGTCGGGGACGGATCTATTTCTAGTGATGCATTAGTTAACACATTTACACAGTATGACTACTGGGGGTGTTCGATTTGGATTAACATAATAATGCACTTAGTTGTTCAGTGTTGCTAATTTTAAGATTTGTATTTGACATCAGCAAACACTAAAGAATAAAACCAATAACCATTCTAAGGCTAAGTCTTTTTAGAAAGGTTTACCATACAAGTTACGTAAAACTAGCTCATTTCCGATATAAGTTATTTATATGATTTTCTCTAGGAGTCAAAAGAGTACTAAAGTATGTTGCGCAGTCCATACCAATAAATTCAAAAACAAGTCCTATAACCACGAATAGTTTCTCATGAAAATTAAGACTCCTTATACAATCAAGTTATTTCCTTCAATGTAAAGCGGAAACTGAAAGCGTCATTAGTACTAGTGAAATAATTAGTTTCAAATTGGAGACTGACCTTAGATAAATATTGAAGAGCAGCACTTAGTCTTCAAAACAAGTAAGGCAATCTGATGCACAGTAAATCATATAAGTACGGTTATTTATCCAAGATGCTTTTAATGAAATCACAATAACTTACTAAGTTGCACCATATAAGCCCATAGATAAGTCAGGTAAATAAACCTAAAATAGTAATGACTACTAACCGAATCCCTGGATAACTCAAGTGCGTTTGAGTTCAACTGTCATGGATAACTTGGCTAAATAGACTTCCATGAAATGTTGGAAATAAAAGGTCATAAACAGAAATATCTTGGACCAAAATTCAAAAGATCAATCATATAAAACTAACTATCTTGTGAGTTTCTTTCTTGATTAGCAATTTTTTCTTCATTTTCAACTGAGACGGTTTCGTTTTCAAAATCATCGGTTTGCATAGACAACTCCTTAGACTGTATTAACTTTGTCGAATTAAACAACGAAAAATGAACTAAATCTTCTGTTTCTGAGTCGTCATCTTCGTCTTCATCGTGCTTTGCACGGTCAGCTTGTTTGGATGACCGTGTCTTGAGTATATCACCAATTAGTTTTAGGCAAGAAGGATATTCTTCACCTGAATTAATGGTACTTATAAATGCCTTTTCCAAAACCATTTTCTTAAATGTTAGACGGGTGACAGAGCGCAACATGTGGACAGGAAAGGAAAGGGCACTTAGAATCACATCAGTAAGCACTTCCGACCAGTGGGGACCTTCAAATATATTATTATCTAGACGCCGTTTTCTGCATTCAGCCAAATCGTTCAGGATTTCAAACGTGTCTACATACAAAAAAGGAAATGAAAACAAATCAAAGAATCACATCATACCTTAACTCTTATGTGTAACAGCTACGGGAAAGTGACGGCTAACAAAACCTCCCAAAAGTCCTGTTTTTATAGAGCTTACGTAGACCTCACTGTGAAATAAATATATAACTTATTGAGTTTATTTGTTCACATAATATAACCCTCAAAGTGTAATTTAACAATGCGATACAAGCATTTACAGTACATTGAAAGTATGCTCCTTTTACGATACGAGCCTGTCTTCAAGAAACACTCCTAGAATTCGTATTGTTTGTTTGAATCTTCCCATTGGTGTTGAGAATTGAAATTGATCAGTCTCTTATTGGCATATGTGTATCTTGTGCGCATTGCCTCGATATTGCCTTAATTCACAAGGCTATCAGGACTCAGTAGCTAAGATTCTACTGCTCACCACTATTCAAATGTTAAAATCTTCACCTCTGCGATTATCTTTTCAACCTAAATCAAATTCTCAGGACAGGCAATTTACATCTTTACGTTTTTTCATGAATTCAGTATTATTTCACTCAACAACATTCTAACTTTGCAATATATAATTCTTTTTTCATTTAAAGTTTGAATCAACTCAACAGCGCTTAGACAATCTTACTCAGGTGGAAAATTTGATGAATCAAGGCGATTCTCCTATTGTAAAGGTATCTGTTAGTTTGTTATTTTTTATTTCCTGCAATTCCATTCATTTTTAATTTACTCACAAAACAGATTATTACCACGCATTGACCTTTCCATATACCATTCATTGTTTTTGTTATTTCTCAATTTTTGTGTCAATTATTCATGTGTTCAATACATTGGTCTTTTTGAACTGACGTCTCAACAATTTCTGTACAAGCTCATCAGAAGAAATAATTGCATTCATATCATAGACATAAGCAATTGACTAATATTTACCATCATACAAATCTCACAGTGTGCAGGACAGCTTGTCCATAAAGTATAATTTTCTGCTTCTTCTTTGAGCTGATGTGTCTCGTTTGGTTTGTTCAATTATTAACAAACAGGTAAAAAATGTTTTGCTTGACTAGTTTTAAAATTTAGATCATCGTTGGCATTAGATTTATTATCGATCCAGGAGTTGCCTTAAAAACAGCTCCTCCATTATTTTAATCGCGAAATCAAGGATTTTTAGTTTATATCAAGCAATATCATACCAATCGTATTAAGACTATTTATTTTTGAAAAGTACTTACTTAAAGCATGTTTAATCTAATATTTGTAAATGGTAGAACTAAGAACTGATTAAATATTTTTTCTGTCTATAATGAATGGAGTATGAGAGTCTTTCTTACAACATTACTTATAAATCAATCTACAGTGGATATTTATAGCACTTGCAATATTGTTGAGGATGTGCAATCCCCAAATACAACTAAGAGAAATGAAATCAATATCGATTAAGATGAGCTCCCGTCAAATTAAGTTATTCAGTGTGAACTATGGTTATGAACTTTCAGTTCATCTTTACCTTGATTTGTATTTAGTGACAAATACCCAGTTCAAAAATTCTAACCAACCTAACTGATGTATAATCGATTAACATGCATAGATTTTCAATGATTGGTATACCAGTGTCATCATCAAAGAGTATTCGTTACCACACTGGCCTTATTCCTCTAGTTAGAGGGGGGAGAAGAGGACAGAGGTGGTTCCATTCACTATACTGAAGTCGGAGTTGCGATACCTTCGTATGGCGCATAAACGTATCAGTCCTCACCAGACGTTTCATGATCTACAGCCTAATTCAGTTCCAACAACTGCAAGTTCCTCCTGAGTGGTTAATTGTTGCATATTCACATACCTCAACATTAAAATACCGAATTCTGAGACAGTGTATCTCACCTTCGATCGGCATGGAGAGAGAAAAAACAGAAACAGCTCCGCACATTAACAGTATGTACTGATCCAACTGATCCTCAGAATCCACTTTTTGGAGAAGCTTAAGGCATTGTTTCGACGAATCCAGACAAAGACTAATATCTGTGTTAGAAGAATGTGTGGACATAGCCCTAGTACATTGTGGGATGGCATTTTTAAGTAGGGATACACAATGTCTAATTATGTCCATATTTGTAATGTTCTTGATAGTCTCCTGACCAGAGTGTTTGTTGATCGTAACTGCTTGCAATACCATACAATCTAATATCCCGAATAAAACACTCCAGCAAAACTTAGCAACATTTGTTGAGATCGGTGTCTTCAAAGCGGTGTTATCAACCTTCAATGAATAAGTCATACCAATAGTTAGTAGGAACTCCAGAATCTGACTGAGCAATTCAGTTCCTTCCGTGTATCTGAATTTTAGGATTGTGTTTACAACTATCTGCAAGTGCTTAATTACGAAACATTGAATAGCATCATGATTTAAGTCAACTGATTGGATTTGATTTGGATTCTTTAAGCCACGTATGTTGCGCACATTTTTGTTTGAATATTGAACCTCAGCATTGATAAAAGCACTTGTTAACTGTTTAACATACACCTGAAGAGTATCTAACGATAGTGACGATGGTGCAGAATCAAAAATAATCTGCAAATTAAAAAATGACATCATTATATCAAGCAAAAGTATACAATTTTGTAATCCAACAACCTTGACAATGAGTTTTAAGCGTCAGTGAAACAAATGATACATGGTATCTATAGTAAAATCATGTATACCATCTATTGTACTATTTTCTTCTAGAATATACTTGAAGCAAAACAAATCACATCAGAATTGGTACATCACTTACTACACTAAATAAGTGCTGGTCGAAATTACGGACTACAGAACTTTTTCTAATTTAGTTAGGTTCAATATTAATATGGCCTTTTACACTACTATCACACTGTCTGTTGGCTAAAAAACAAATCGCTGAGTAACTACCCGTTGAAAGAAGACTTTTGGGATAAGGTTAAAGGCATTATGATCTATGAACGATACACGAATTAACCAAATCGTTTACACACAATGAGATAAAACTGTGTTTTATTTACAGATGACAAGTTGCCTCCTAGATCTTGTAAATATTTATGAAAAGAAAAACTTTGAGAGCGCTTTTTATCGATGTAGCCTGCGAATACAAAAGGTCGAAGTTGCTAGTTCATTGCGTTAAGTACACAGATCGACTTCCCCGCTCCATTCATAACTTTAATAATTCACGAAATCAACACGAAATCAAGTCTGTCACTATATCTCTCTATTTGTAGATAAAATCACCCAAAAATTAAACTGTATCCAAAGGGACAAACTATAAATAGACACCTTACATGATGGATAGTTCACTTACTAGTCACGTTTCATGCAAACATTTCACGATATTAAGCAGCTCATCATTGGTCATTTCAATTTTATGAATCACTATAACAACTACAGTTTACATTGCTTTGTGAGAGCTAGTCACTAGTACTTTTCTATTTCTGTAGCTTGAAAATCAGCTAGTTGGTCAGAGACCTTTACTTTGAGTTCAATAATCTTGATGTACATAATGAGTTGTAAAATGACCGAAAGTCCTTGAGGTAAAGTGCTTACAATTTAATGTGGTAGCCACACCTTATGAACGGATTATAGTGACAGCAATTTGTGCATGCACAAAATGCGACGGTACATACATGTTGATATTAAATAGAAGCCATTCACTTAGTTATCTCTTTGAAAGATTCATAACTTAGAAATATAGAGAAACTTTAAGTGCCTTCTTGAAGTTGTTTATAGCAACTAAAAAGCTCTATCTGATCAATAACCATAAGGTTAATATAAATGTTACTATATAAATATGTAGATGATGCAAAACTTGCTAACCTGACATGGCTTAGGGGAGCTAGAGTCGCAAAAAAAGTCAAATAGTGGGTAATTTAAAGCAATCGATTTCAACAGCCGGTCCGGAGACATAGAAACCGCAGATTTCTGGAGAGTTTCGTCAACATTTGTGGAACCAATAATCTTGTCCATCATCACTCCTAGTAAATGGGAGACTTGAGGGAAATAACTGTACTTGCAATCTGATAACTGCTTGCTGAAACCCTCAAAGACTTCACTAGATAAGACGAAATCAAACTTTTCCGTATCATTACAAATAATGTGAACGGCAATTTGCAGAAATCGGAAAGTATTTTTGGCTTTATTGGCTTTAGAACATAAGGTAGCTATAATAAAAAGGAACAATTAAGGGTTAGATAATCAATTCAATGACAACACAATATCAATCGCTAGAAGACCGCTTCTGTCAGCTTTTAAAGTACTACAAATTAATCGAACAAATCACAGCACTGTAAAGACGATAGTCGAAACTTTCCAATCCAAACAAAATGAGGCAGTTGTTCAAGTGCTGATTGGAACTAACAAATACTTCATAATAAATAACTAATGACGATGACTGCCATCACGACCGTTTAACCAAGATCTTATTTTTTAAAACATCTAAAAAATTGTTCGATACCGGAGACATTCATGGACAGTTTGTCTCGTGTAGCCCCTATAGTTTTGTAATAGACTATCAAGAATTTAGAAAATACTAATTCAAGTCCAAGTTAGCAAACAAACACTGTTTTTTCCAAGGTGACAAACCTCCGTAATATGAACGACAAATGACTGTAGTAACTATGACGCCCTTTTATCTGCCTTTGTCCTGTTGTTCATATATGTGACCAGGAGAAACAGACGACCAACGCACTTAGTAGCATAAGACTATTTTGACTACCATTAATTCCTTTTTAGTTTTCATCGTGATAGCGATGAATGTTTTTCTTAGACTTAAGCCAACGTATGGCGTTCACAAAGTAACAACTCTGACCTAGTGAAATGAGGCTTTCAATAGCATGTTGAAACTTCCAAGACCCGGAGTTAGTGTCAACCTGGATAGTGTATTTCAAAAACCAAGAATGTGGTATACAAATAACATGTTCATGCCACGTTTTAGAGATTCGAACACAAGTTTTAAGTGGTGAGTTGAATGATAATTGACTTATCTTGGTGACGATTTACAGTTGGATCCTCTGATGCTTGATAATGCAACGGGAAATTACTGCTGGTTTACATATGCAAGCGTAGATTCAATAATAAGAAATACGCCCAACTATAGTCAAGTTAGAAGTCACGAAGTCATTATCAGGTTGGTTTGTTAAGAGAATTACGAAAGACCTGAGTATATACTGATAGTTGAGATGGATCACTGATATTCAAAAAGTAAAAGACTACAACACAGTTCAGAAACTCAGTTGATACGGTGAATGTAAAATTGAAGTGAACCATGGTTATTCTGGAGGTTTAAACGACAACTTGGACAATCCACTACATCAAACAAGCTAGATTTTATGGCAGTGGAACACAGAAATAAGGGTAATTGACCGGTAGATTTAGCCAAATCTAATCTGACTCACCGCAGACTTAACAGCTGTATATTTAAGTAGAGACTAACTAACCAGTTTATACAAAGTTTTTATGAACACTATGTTAACAAGAAAACCTGTTTCATCAACAATAGATCTTCATAATAATCTGTAGTAAAACATCGCTGAAAGATTTTTGGATGTCACCTTAGTCAGCTTATCCACATATATAGAAAACCATTACGTTAAAATGCTCACCTTTGACAGAATTCCAAACAGTGCTCAGGATATCGCGCTTTAAGACTTCATCGATTAACCGCATCACAATGGTGTCGTGAGAATGCTTGCTAAATAAAATTAACACGAAAGGTTCTTACAAGAATTCCGAATAAGAGCTTCCTACGATACTGTTTCTCAGATAATTTGAACGCTGGAATATCTAGCTTTTGAAGACGTTTCTGAAAGTACAGTCATATTTATGGATTCAGTACCTGAAACCGATGCTGAAATGACAGAATGACAAGCAAGAGTTCTCCGGTGATATCCGAGTTTGAAGACATGAGGTTTTGCCATGTTTCTTTTAAAAAACAACTCAATTTTGCGATTAAATGTTTAGGTGCCTAATAAATGTGCATTAACAACCCAAACATTACTTGAAGACTCATTTCCGATATTGCTAAATATGCAGCAGCTCTATGATGAATGGATTTCGTCAACAGGATAATAGATTGAAGCAATACTTTAGCGAACTCTTCATCAATCTGTACTTAGTGGCGACAAACACAACGTACCTCCTTTATTCTTCCAGATGCACAAAGCACTCTTGTGCATGATAAGTACGCTGATTTCACAGACGAACGTTCCTGGATTTCATATTAACGAAATATTTGCTATCTACATTTTGCGTGGACGGCTCTGAGGCGAAAACTTGAACACTCATGGATTCCTCTAGTTCTTTAGTTGAGGTTTCTGTTGGAAAATCTTTGAGGTAACGTATAAGACAGTGCTCATAGCTAGACCTCGTATACTCATCAAACGACTTTAGGCCTTTAACAAGCCTTTGCCTTGTATACGTGAAGTAAGTGGTTTTCACCTAGTCTATTTAATTTGTTTGGATTAACCTACTTCACCCGTTTTACTACTTAACAAATCTACCAGCTTGTTAGACGCTTCTATTCTTTGGTTTTCATCTCTAGCTGATAATCCCCAAAACAGATCCAAAAAAGTACGGTCAGTCTGCATAACGTGATTCCCTAGGTCGTGACCGTCAAAAACAAAATTGTAGTCAACCCCAGAAGGTCACCAAGAGTTTAAACTTTCGAAATTTATTGAGCATAACGACAAACTGTTTATGACTTTCGATCTTAAGCTTCATTAAGGGGGTCGCTTTTTATGGAAATATTTTGTTCGTTCATCGATTTTTCAGGAGATGAGAGGAGTATCCTTTGTGTAAATAAGTATTCACACAATATAAGCTTTTGCTTAACAGGGTTCTGGGTCTAGTAACAGTGGATCACTAACGCCTTCAATTGGGGACTTGGATATGTTTGACAAGCGAGACGTGAACGTTAGCAAATAACCATGAAATGACGTCACAATTGCTTGGGATTGTTTTAAGTTTTCTCTTTTCCCCGCTCCTCACCAACGACACAAATCTCTCAAAGTATACGAAGTCTCTTCAAATGGTTCAAATGGTAATGGAAGGAATAGAAAAAGCTTTCGCTTAACAGGCTTCCGTGTCTAGTAGCAGGGGATCACCAAATCCTCCAGGCAGGAACCTAGGTATGCTAACAATAAAACAGGAAAATAAATTGATAAATCATAGTTCGATACTATCCTTAGTCCTTAAGAATAGTTCAAGTTGCCTCTTAAAGGACTACTGGGAAGTCGCTTGGACTAGCTCGGCCGGCAGCGAATTCCAGCATTTGACAACTCTTAAGGAGTAGAAGTTGTGTCTACAGTCCGTTCTGCTATGTTGTGTCTCCAGTTTTTGGGTGTTACCCCTCAGGTTAGTGTTGGAACTAAGCTTGAGTAGGTGTTTGAGAGGATGTCCAGAAGTGTTACGGATACTATAAGCCATCAGAAGGGCACCTCTAAGACGTCTATACTCTAATGGGTAAAGGCCAAGTGAATGGAGGCGCTCTTCATAAGGTTTAAATTTGAGTCGTTGAACTGATTTCGTGGCTCGCCGTTGGACACGCTCCGGGGTGTCCTTATCCTTTTGGAGTGAGGAGGGAAATACTGTGTTTCCGTACTCTAAATGTGGACGGATAAAACTATTGAAGATTATATGGAAAGTTCTTCCGTCAAACTGGCCAAAAATGCGCTTCAATGTTACCAGTGCAAGGTTTGCTCGGAAGGCATTTTTGTCACAGTTAGCATAAGACTTTAAATCGTACGGCACCAAGACTCCTAAATCTTTTTCGACTTGAGATACTACTAGAGGGGAGTTACCTAAGTTATAACTGTAGTCTGCGATATGTCGCAAATGAACTACTTTAAACTTTGAAGTGTTAAGGTTATGTCCGTTATCGTCTGCCCAACTTTAAAGTTAAGTCAGATCCTCCTGAAGTGTCTGTATATCGTCTTGGTTGCGTATCTCTCTCCAAAGCTTCACGTCGTCGGCAGAAGGCAAAAAGTCTGACGTTACCTGTTGAGGAAGATCATTTATGTAGATCAAGAAGAGAAGAGGTTTTAGTACTGAGCCCTGGGGGACCCCACTAGGACATTCCATAGCCTGAGAGAAAGTGAAATTAACCCTGGCCTTAAAATGTAAATTTTTCAGGTATGAAGTGAGCCAATCCATTAAAGGTGATCGGATTCCTAATCGTTTGAGCTTATTGAAAAGACATGTATGGTTAACCTTATAAAAACCTTTTGAGAAATCTAGGTAGATAATATCAACCTTCCTCTTGTGATCGAGGATGCTTGTCCATCTGTCCACCGCAGTCAGCAGGTTGGTAATACAAGAGTAACGCTTCCTGAAACCATGCTGTTGGGGTGAGAAGAAATTTAAGGACAGTAAATAGTCGTTCATGCCATCACATATCAGGGACTCCATGATTTTTGAGGGTATGGAGAGAAGAGATACCGGTCGGTAACTTGAAGGTTCGCTGCGTCGACCTCCTTTGAAAATTGGTGTGATGTGAGACAGCTTTCAATTTCCCGGTAGTTTTCCTCGACTTAGCGAGTGTGGGAACATCATGCTAAGCGGTATTGCCAAGATTGAGGCTGCTTCCCTGAGTATAGCGGAACGGACCATGTCCGGGCCAGGAGAAGTGTCTAATCTTAAGTGCTGCAGTTTCCGGAACACCGAGCCAGCACTTAGGTTCACTTCGGAAAGTCATGTGGAATTGCAAACGAAACCGTCATCAGTAGAGTCGGTCGGTTGAAATGTCTGGGAGTAAAGTTCAGCCAGAAGGTTGGCGGCGTCGCCATCGTTGTTGATCGGGCCGTTAAGACCTAGCAGTTGGGAAACTCCAGTTTTGGCTTGACGAACAGAGGCTGCATAACGGAATGAGCTTTTAGGATTAGAGGCAAATTTGTCCATAAGCTCTTGAAGGACTCCTGAAATGTTTCGTCCATAATCTCAGCCGACATCGGATCCCAGTACTTGACTACTCGTGAATATTAGGTGTACTAATATAGGAATCTTAGAATTTGATAATTTCGTGATGCGATCATTTGAACAAAGTGATTTATTTCTACTGGCATCCTGCCATAATGAAACAGTTACAGGTCTTCATTAATCTACAATAAGCTTAGCTTAGACATAAGATTCCGATAACCCTGAGGAATTCGAGTTGTTGGAGACTGGTCCAGTTTGAGATTATCCTAAGTTGAATAACTTGGCGAAACTACCATCTTCCAAATTGACGATCATTAATTTGGTTTCCAGTAACAAAAGCCGTGGTACGGTAAGTAAAAGAAGGAACCAGAGTGGAAAGAAGTAAATAATAAGAATATGTGCGTAAAACAAGAACATAGGTATCTGGGAGGATGATCAAGTTAATGAAAACAATACGAACAGAGGTGATGTGTTTGTGTTGGTTGATAGTTCCTGTGTAAAAGAAGTTTTTATTTTACTCCACTTTGATCTTCAGAATACGATTCCTTAAGGTTTTCTGACGGAGAAATCTTTGACTTGGACGCCGGTCCATATGAGATTGTCGAAGTAAAAAATGGAAAATCCTAGTGAATACTAGTCAACTTGCTTAGTTTAACTTCCTCTAGTTATCTTGCAACCATACTCAGGGAGTCAGTATTAAAATGAACGGAAACTAATTGAAGTAGAAAGCTTTTGAAAGCTTCATGAAAGGATCTGAATTTTGAAATGTGGCCAGAAACGATATTCAAAGTGATAAAACTGACATTTATCGATGAAGATACTTATGACTCACCTAAGATCTGGGTTTTTTGAAATAATCAGTTTGGTTATCATATTAGACTCCCAAGGGTTTATTACTTATTTATGTTAACTGTGCCAGTTTCGGATACACTGAGGGACCAATGTTCTATAAAATAGTCGAACATGATAATTAGAATTTTCGAACTTCCATACTTAAACTACAGAAATATGCCGCGAAACATAACTTCAGATTCCAGTTGAGAATTCTTCTCTAAGATCAATCGATTATTAGGGTGGAAATATACTCATCGTTGTCACACTAACTTAATGTATCCTGGGTCAGAATAACGGCCATGTAGTCAATGAGTTTGTCTAATAACGTAATGGGATTTTTATTAAAAAAGTAGACTATATTGTAATTTCAGTCTTGGCTGTAATTTTTACTCACCATATAGAACTGTATTACGCCGGATATACATTACATGCTGGAATGATATCCTAAGTCATAAAAAGCTCAGTAAAAGTTGTAATTATTTTGAAGTATACCGTAAACGATTATTGTTACTGAAGAAAATTTTGTTGTTCTGTAAACTGTTACGATTCCTAAGAGACTGTCGACATCGGTTTGTGTTAGATAAGTCTTACTGGCTTATAGTTTGTTTTTGTGGTTTAAAGACTTAGTCATCTATAACCATCTACTTTAAGTTGCATGTCTGTTCAAATGAAGCAATAATGACGACACCTCTTTAGTTTAGTATACATGACTGTCATATAATTCAGTTTGATCAAAATAGTCATAGTACTTGAAGGAAAAAATGAAGCACGTCAGTTAAATGAGTAAAGTTACTCAATGTTTTCGTTTCCATTAGTGTGATCAAAATTGGAAAACGATCAGTTTGAAATTATGTGTACTTTAAAGTGTAACAAGCTCCTTGAAGTTGGATTTGAGAACTTAAAACTTGCACATCACGTGCGAAATTAGTAGGATATGATAGTGGTGCATCATATCTATTATATTCTTAATCGTCCTGATACATCACTAATTCATTTGATTAATAAATTACACGTAAGATAGTAGTGACATTGGACAACAGTTAGCTTACAAACATAGGAAAAGTACATCGGATGCTGCTGTAGTCACATATCATAAAATCGTGTTTATTTTGGTTGGAGGTGATAGGTATGATCGATGTGTATTTGTAGACTATGCGTCTGACTTTGACCATATTTCAAGACCACTGCCATAGAACAATGTCCTCAGCGATAACATCGATGGCTAGATTAACAAGTGCCTGTGTTTTTACTTCCCTGGAAAAGAGCAGTATACGGTTCTGGAGGAGGCGTGTTCTACGTCATTTAAATGCAGCTAGCTGTGAACAAACATTAAAAATCTTTTAACAACTGGAAAATGTAGTCTACCATACACTAACTCTGCTTGTATATCTTCTCGTAAAACAAGACGCAAATAAATCAGAATACATAGATAGCAATCGAAGGATAGAAGATGTATAATACGGTATTAAGCACGTACTATGCTTTGCACAAATTGTAAGTGACGGCCTTATCTTTGACCAATATTCGTGAACATATTAGCAAATGACAGTTGTGTTAATTCGTCTTTGCTCAAAGACATGTAACTTGTTCATTTTATTATTCCATACATTTAACATAATCCAATACTATTTGTTTATTCAAAATGTAACAGTAGTGAACCCTGACATATCTTGCAAACTGTTTCGTAGCCAGAATCGTAGTCATGTGGAACTAATTACAAAAGGCTACTCTAACAGCATTTTCCGGAAGTTTTCTAAAAAAACAGGCTGGACGTTCACTTTAATCTAACAACCACTTCCACCGCTTATAATTTACTTGTTTTACCGTTTAGTTAAAAAAA